GCTGTGTCCCCATTAGAAAACAAAATGTGAAATTGCTGCTTTCAACTTCTACTCTCACCATATTTGCTAATGTAGCCCTCGATAGGTTATGAAGCATCGTTGGCAATGTAGCACATAAAGTATGAGAAGGTAGAGGCCTTAATGCTGAATTCTCCGCCTCCTCCTCCTCAGGTCCACCGAGCTCTACGTTCCTGTTCCTGCAAACAAGTCAAACGTCTGAAGCAATGTATCGAAAGTATTCCCGCGCGTTCCGTAGGATGGATATGTCATGTGACATGACGCCTGGGAGCGCCCATCAACAGATAAAATGACAGATGCTGTTTTTTGCCTCGTGGATCCGACTTGCTCCTCATTTTTTTTCCTCTCTTTTTCGCATTTCCTTTCACCCGCTGTGACCTGACAGTACTGGCGTTTTCTGCTATTTTACTATTTCCATTGGAAAGGATTCCGAAATATCTGAGCCTGAGTGTCGTCTTTTAACCGAGAGTTTGGTCACGTCGGGCATCCGTTTTAGGGGGACTGAAAAGAATCCCTGAAAAATGTGACTTGGAGAATTTTGTGGTTCCTAAGCATTGTTTTGGGGTGTTTCCATTGTAAATACATCTGACTCGTCGTTTCTGTTTCCATCAAAGCAAGGTTCTGTTGTTTGCCATCCGTTTTTGCATGTCTATTGGAAAAGACATGCCAATCTGTACATTTCCCTTCTGTTCGATTCGTCTTTTTTTGGCATTGCCACCAACCATGATGCTTTGGGTCTGTTTGGTCCACATTATGTGGCCTTTCCGGTGTAAAGAGTCCCAAGCATGTGATCCGTGATGTCCTGTTTCCACCAAGCGATACGGCTGAGCGTTCATTTCAGCGTAAGGCTTCTAAAACGTCTCACTCCGAGTGTCGTGTCGATTCGGCTCACCAAAATATCCACTTTTGTCGGAAAGGGTCCTGAAATATGTGAGGCGCTGTCTCCTGTTTTCACTAAGCATGGGATTTGGTGATATATGCTTTGCATTCTTAATTTAAATTTTTTAAAATGAAGGTTCTCAAAATGTCTGACCCGTATAAGCGTAATTTCACGTGACCAGACAACAGATTAGCGGCCTTCCTGTATCACTATCATAACAATGGGTCGATGACACGATGGTTTGAAGCTGAACTTGCTTAAATTAAGTTTTCTTCAGGGTGAGTGTTTTGCCTGGTTGCACTCGGTCACTCCTGACACCAACGTAGCGTCTTAGTGTACTTATTTTGTTTTTGACAGCATCGGGAATTTCCCATACAGGCGCTGACCTTTCATTGTGCATTTGTGTCACTTGAGGCTAGCGTCGTCGCTGTCGCCGCGGGAAGCGCTCGCTCCTCGCCCCCACTCAACGTTTCCCTCGTCCTCGCGGGCAGTCCCTGTCCATCGCGTCCAGGTGGACGCATGGCTTTGATTGGTCGCCTCCACTTGGCTGTCACCGCGCTTCCTTTGTGATTGGCGGTAATTGGCGTGGCCGTGGGCGAGCTCGTCTTTCACCTATGCTCAAACTGTGATCGACTTGATTTGAATGAGACGCACCCCCTTTCCAAATGTCGACCTTTATAGGGCAAAGAACCATATGTAGTAGGTGTGCATTTTTTTTTTCCCCCTGGAAAAATATTTTAACTTTTTGTTTTCCCTAAAGGCGGCCCAGTGGTCCAGTGGTTAGCGCGTTGACCTCACAGTGCAGAGGTACCGGGTTCTTTTCCAGCTGCGGCCTCCGTGTGCGGAGTTTGCATGTTCTCCCCGGGCCTGCGTGGGTTTTCTCCGGGTACTCCGGTTTGCTCCCACATTCCAAAAACATGCATGGCAGGCTGACTGAACACTCGAAATTGTCCCTAGGTGTGAGTGTGAGCGCGGATGGTTGTTCGTCTATTTATGCCCTGTGATTGGCTGGCAACTGGTTCAGGGTGTCCTCCGCCTACTGCCTGAAGACGGCTGGGATAGGCTCTAGCACCCGCCGCGACCCTTGTGAGGATAAAGCTGATCGAAAAATGGATGGATGGATGGATGGATGGGTTTCCCTGAAAAAATATGAACTTTTTTTTTCCTGAAACAAAAAAGACTTTTTTTTATTTTTTTGCAAGAAAATTTCATTTCCCTGAAAAAAATATGCCTTTTTTTCTTGTGTGCAACATGCGAAAAAGGTAATTCTAGCGACACAAAGCTTTTTCCTCATTTTTCTGGTACCATATTTGGTCAGCGATTTACAGTAAGGAACAAAAGGTTGTCGAGTCCACTCGTACCCGTCGTATGAATCCGTCACATGTGAACAATTAGGTTCCGTCTGCACCGTGTGCCGTGTTTATACAATGTTGCAATCAGTGTAATTGTGCACACTGCGTCTTGTTTACCCACTTCAACTTGGCACTCGAGCACCTTCCTTTTCATGCGCGCTAATTGATTCCCATCAGCTGCTATGCAGCCGCCCCGTGTTCCTTCTTGATAGAACAACAAATACAAAGAGCCGTGATCAGTAGCATTGTTTATTCGTACTGACTGCCGATAGCCATAAAAGCCCTCAAAAGTTTTGTTTTCCCTGCCGTTGCCAAGGTTTTTCCTCCGATCGCCTGCAGGGCAGCATAATCTCAAATCTCATCTACTCTCTGATTTTGACAATTGGACATTCCTTTTCATCAACGCTACGGGAGTGCGGTGAATGGAGAGAAGCGTTGCTTATTCCCCCGGTGTTGTGATTCACTGAGGAAATTATCCCAAAGACAAGAAAATCCAATAGTATGAGCGAAGTCAAAACAGAAAAGCCAACGTGGAATGTTTCTTGTTTAGTCTAGTTTGAATATTTAATCTGAACATACACGGTGAGCCCTGGACATAGAAATAATGGAAAATTACTTTTTTTAAGATGAAGGCATTCGACTATTCACTTCTTGCCAGATGCCGAGATATTGCACAGTGTAAACGTTCACATGAGCGGGATTCCAGAAAAAAAAAAATTGCTGCACAGATCACAATGTCATTTTTTCAGGATGGCATGTGTGGAGAAGCTGGCTGCTATGTAGCCGCCCCGTGTTCCTTCTTGATAGAACAACAAATACAAAGAGCCGTGATCAGTAGCATTGTTTATTCGTACTGACTGCCGATAGCCATAAAAGCCCTCAAAAGTTTTGTTTTCCCTGCCGTTGCCAAGGTTTTTCCTCCGATCGCCTGCAGGGCAGCATAATCTCAAATCTCATCTACTCTCTGATTTTGACAATTGGACATTCCTTTTCATCAACGCTACGGGAGTGCGGTGAATGGAGAGAAGCGTTGCTTATTCCCCCGGTGTTGTGATTCACTGAGGAAATTATCCCAAAGACAAGAAAATCCAATAGTATGAGCGAAGTCAAAACAGAAAAGCCAACGTGGAATGTTTCTTGTTTAGTCTAGTTTGAATATTTAATCTGAACATACACGGTGAGCCCTGGACATAGAAATAATGGAAAATTACTTTTTTTAAGATGAAGGCATTCGACTATTCACTTCTTGCCAGATGCCGAGATATTGCACAGTGTAAACGTTCACATGAGCGGGATTCCAGAAAAAAAAAAATTGCTGCACAGATCACAATGTCATTTTTTCAGGATGGCATGTGTGGAGAAGCTGTTTTTTTTTTTTTTTATTAAGTCCTGTTCTGGGTGTGACGCTCCAGCCGCATCTGCCAAACAGGAGAAGTTTAAAAAGTGTGTGTCGTGGACGTGTTGGCCCTGTGACAATGTTGCGTTACCCTTGTTGTGGCACAATTGTCACATCTGCAGTGGCGCGACGCGAAGGCGCCTCCTCAGATGTTGTCGGGCAGTTTTAATGACACCCCGGACAGCCTTTCTTGCCCTGTACGGTATAGTTCTCATGCCAGACCATGATCGAGTTGGTCAGGATCCATCATGCATCTGTTGAGGTTGCTGAGGAGTTTGGGGGAGGGGGGAGGGGGGGATTCCAAATGTTCTCAGCTTGCTCAACAAGTACGTCTTTCCTCATCATGTGCTTTGTCGTTGCGGGTCCATCGGAGTTGAGCGCCGATGTGGGGGTGGGGGGGCCTGAGGAGTTTTTCAGGTTTTCGCCTTCTCCGCCCGGAGTGGTCCGAACGTCAGCATTTCAATGTCGGTTGAGCAGAATTTCTCCGTCACCCGAAGGCCTGCGCACAATCTGTCGTTGAGAAACGCGTACAGTCCGCCCGCCTTTGTTTTTTCCTCCAGGCAGCTGTGCGGTCTCCGCGTTCATCTCGAGCTGGATGGCTGAGTCTTGAATGGTGCTATTTGTTCACGATTGCGTACAAATCCGAGCGCAGAATTCCCTGATTTCACCTTGGATGCCACAAAGCTCATCTGTTCTAATTATACGTCGAGCGATCGGATGTTGGCTAGCAACAGGCTAGCAACCTCTCCGTGTTGGTTGGGAGACGGGAAATACAAATAAACAACTAAGGCGATGCTGATGGCGGCTGCTGGTTGGTGTGTCGGCCTCACCCTGCAGAGGTTGCAGGGTTCGATTCCGGCTCTGGCCTTCCTGTGTGGAGTTTGCATGTTCTCCCCGAGCCTGCGCGGATTTTCTCCGGGTAATCCGGTTCACTCCCACATTCCAAAAACATGCATGGCAGGTTAATGGAAGACTAAATTGTCCCAAAGCGCGATTGTGAGCGTGGATTGTGGATGGCTCTAGCATGGCGCACGACCCTGATTGCACAAGTGTACACACCCCCTTTTAAGTGACTATGCGGCAGTGTTCAGAATTAGCCAGTCACGCTCAAAAGTAAATGGCCGTGGTCACACGTCTGTCACCAAAATGTAAAGTGAGTGGATTCTCAATAGATTTCACTTTTTTTTCAATGAAGATCTACAGGTAGACACAATAATGCGGGAAAAAGCTTAAAAATCATTTATCTTTTTTGATGACATCACTAAAACGTTTTTGAATCGGCGCGAGTCCTTCGATAGCACACGTTCATATCAGCGATGCTCATCATCTTCCTCCGTTTCTCTTTCTCGTCAAGCTCTCGGGCAGCGCTGCGGGATCGCCGGCCGGGTCGTCGTCCACGCCCTCGTCGTCGTCTCGCCAGTACGCCCGCCAGCGCATCACCCGCGTCAACCTCAGGGACTTCATCTTCTACATGGAGCAGGAGCGAGACACGGCCCATTCGCTGCTGCTCTACCGCGCCCTCCTCAAGTAGCCGCCGCCTCCTCTTCCTCCTCTTGCCACGTGCCTTCAGATCAGGTGTCAGCTCGGTGTCTCCATACGCGCGCTCGTCGTCAATCGGCTTCCATATTCACGAGAGGAAAACGGTAGGAAGAAAATGTCACCCAAAATGGCTTCGTTTGCGTCTTTGCCGTCTTGCTTTTCACATTCGCGTAGGGATGATTGCGTTTTAAGGCCGCCGTGCATTTTTAACGGGTTGTTTAAAACATTTTAACAGTCCATCGAGTCCAAGTCAGGCTTGAGGTTTATCGACCACGTGTCAGTCTAGCAGATTTCAACAACACATTTCCCTCACCGTGAATGTAAATAGTTGGGTTACATTTTTATTTTTAAATTTTTGTGGGGTCAGTTGACATGAATGCATATGAGTATTATGAAAGTAAACATTTTATCACGCCGCGTTTTAGATCCGTTTTACGAAGGTGTACGAGGGCCAGACTGACGACCACAATAGTTTTTTTCTTTGAAAAGTTGTAATGTTATGGGAATACAAGGTCCTTTTTATTTGGAAGTACAACCACAGAAATGACACTTTAATGTAAATTAATCATTGTATAGCTTGAAGTCAATTTTTTGTCCTCTCAAAATAATTCGCAATAATCCGCACACAGCCATTAATGTCTGACCTGCTGACAAGAAAGAAAAAAAAAGTGAGTACACCCCTAGGTCAAAATTGTTTGTATGCCCGTCCGTCGTCATGCCACCGGAATCCTTGTCCGCGACGACATGACGCAGCTGGCCGATGTTCGAGACCTTGTGCTCGTCCATCTTTAAGGTCTAGGTCCCTGTTTTGGCCAGTTCATCTTTACTACCCGCTGCTTTTTTTAGCAAGGCAGCGGTGGTCCTGAAAGTGTGTTAGGAGTAATTCTCATGCTGGAATAATACCTTGGGCTCCAGAAAATAATGCTCCCAACACGCTCGAGGTTATTCATCAAAAGAAAAAAATTCTTGGTCTCGTCAGACCACAGTACATGGCTCTGATCATTTCATGCCCTTCGTCTGCTATCTTCACCAACCAGCAGCACTTATTATGCAACAGATTTAGAAGTGGCTTTATTTTCGGATGACAACCAATTTGAGGCCAATTTTTTTTCTGGTCCGTTTTCATCAGATCCTCAGAGCTCTTTGATACAAGGTCCTATTTTGAACTTCCCTTGAACAGCATGGGCGAGTGTGACACCGATATCAAATTTAACGCACCTGCTACTCATTCATTCGTAAAACCTTGCCATACCAAGTGTCACATGACATGGGGTCGGGGGGGTCGGGGGGGGGAATCCAAATTGCACATTTTCACTGTGGGGTGTGCTTACTTTTGTTTTCTGCGGTTTAGAAAACAATGGCTGAGTGTCGAGTGAAAAAAAAAATCAAACAAAAATATCAGGGCCGTATGCTATTCTACTGTATATAAGTCACGTTAAAAATGAAAACTGGATTATTACGAGTGTGCATATTTTTTCCCACAAAACAAGCATTATAAAACGAGCATTTTTTTCTGAGAACTAATAATGAACTTTGCATTTTAAGTCTTTCTAGCTTATTTGTGAAAACGTTTTAATCTTTTCTAAAACGTTCTAAAAAAATGTCTCATTTGTGTTATTGTGTGACAAAGGATATATAGTTTTTCCCTTAAAGACTTTGCCCCACCCCCCTAAAATGAAATCTTATTTAATTTCATAATGTAATTTGTGACAGAGACATTTAAAATCACAAAAAAAGGATCTAATGAAAGTTGTTGTTTTTAAAACAAAACTTATCATTCCATAAAAGAAAACAAAATCTGTGCTTTACTCTTATTGTTATGCACCTTTTTAAAATAATATTATTATGTAAAACTTTTTTCCTCGAGTCCTTAAAGTTTATTTTCATAACATTACAACTGTATTCTATTTTCTTTTTTTTTTTTAATCATTTCAGCGGCTTCAATACGCCTTCGTACACTTTTATTTTGTTCACCTGTTAGTGTTTGTTACCAGACGGCCCGTTGCCATAGTTACAAGTTCAACCCACACACTTTGATTTTATGACTGCAGAAAGTGTGCAGTTTGTGCAAATGTTTGAAGAACAAAACAACAAAAAAAAGAATGTTTCAAGTCTATCAAGTGTTTTTTTTAAATTTTTTTGTGGTGCACATGACTCAACTCATATGGACTGACTAAAGAGTGAGGCATTCAGGCTTGTTGTTACACATGATCTTTTATTGTTAAACTATTTTATAAATGTATAAACGCAGAATCATTCTTGTACGTTGATGTACGTCGTTTGTTTTCATGACTGATAACTTAATGTGACATCTCGGCCTATGCAGTTTTTGTCTTTGGAAGAAATGAAATATTTCAAACCGTTGGTTGCGCTCTGTTGTGAGTTTTGACAGCACTTTTATTTTATGATATATTTTTTAAGTCCCCGTTTTAGCTGACAACTTCAAGCTGTCTGTTTAATATTGCTCAGAAATGTCAACTTTTAAACACAATTGATCCTGTGCTTCAAAAGTCACATTTTGCATTTTGCTTTCATTTTTACATTTCATAAGTTGGCTTTTATGCACATTTCCTCTATTTTCTGCTCTTTGACAAGCACAACAGCAACAATCTTGACTGATTATTAATATTTGTTTTCTTTTTTTTGATAATAACAATCTCATTTGCTTTTGGCATTTTTACCGCTTGCAGGTTTTTTTTTTTTATTTTATTTGCCAAAACCTTGGGACAATATTAAAAAGAAAACAACAAAAAAAAAACAAACAAAAAAAAGGGAAAATAAAACTTTCACTGTATGGATATTTTGTAAATACTGTTTACAAGACTTGTGTGTTTATTCGAACCACGTTATTTTTGGTAAACTCTTGTACATATCTTGAAATTTTCCTCTTTGTGTGAAATGACAAAAAAAAAACAACAAACAATACTGATGTATTTGTACCTATTTTATAAAGGAATGAATAAGCTGTTTACTAAACTGACAAAACGCTGCCGTTTGTTCATTTCTTCAGCATTAAAATGTCTCCAGCAGGGATGGGATGCACACTGTGATTTCCCCCCGAGTGCAAAGGGCTCTCTTGCATGAAAAATACCATTCAAGGATGGCACAAAATTACTGAACAAGAAACCAAACTAAGACGCAATAACTCATTTTGTGCATTTTTTTCCACAAAAATTAGCTCATTCAAAATGTTGTATCGAGGTACAATCTTTGCCCTGCGTGTCTTTCTAAATCTGCAAAAAAATAAAAATTATGCCTGCTCATGTTGTAGGATCGGGCAGTATGTTCGGTGCTTTCTACTGTTTTTATTACCGATTTGCTTTACTGTTTGTTGTATATGTTAATTTGCTCCATGTACAGCACTTTGTATGCAGCGATGGCTGAAAGTGCTCTATAAATACAGTTGAGTTGAGTTGAGTTGAGTATAAGACTAAGTGCAGCTAAGTTTGCTATCTAGTGGTGATTAGTGATATCACAACTTTAAACTACAATCGACCCCTGCATCGTGGCAGTTCGGCACTCACCGATTTGCATATCTATCTATCTATCTCTAAAATATTTTAAATGTTAACAGCCACCCTAAATTTCTATTGAAACATTTTTTGTTAAAACTATTAAGTATAGAATTAGCAAAGACGACACACGTGGCAATACAGTACATCATTTTATTATCGCAAATATGCCAGAAAAGTCAAATAAAGACACTGCAAAATGAACACATGCCCTTTAATACCACAGTCTAATTGTTTTTAAACACTTTAAATAATATACATTATTATCATTATTATTATTACACCTTTTAAAACGCTTCAGTCTTTATGTACACAATGAAATGCTTGGATGTATTGTCATTCTTTTTCTCCTTTTTTCTTCTGGTAAAAACACAAGTCCGAATAATTGGGTGTGCCAAACACTGGCCCATGACTTCATGTGGTTCGGAGTATTCCGAGGGGTGCAAGGGGGTGCGTTTATTGCTGCTAAACCAAATAAATAACACCCCATGGAGAGGAAAACAGCGTCTTAAGCGGGTTAAAATCAAACCCTGGAAAAAGTAATTCCCAGAGGAATGTTTTAGGAGTTTTCATTTCAACTGGCGCAAGAGACCAACACGCTGAGCTCCAAAGTCTTGGTGAAAAATGTGCTTCCATTGCAAGAGCGCCCCCCATGGAGAAGAGCAGTACTGCTTTGTTAACAGTGTGGGTGGCCGACGCGACCAACATTTTTCTCCCGATCCGGGTGGGGAAAAAAAAAGACGGTCTATTTTAAAAAAAAAAAAAAAAAAAAAAAAAATCCAGCCACAAACATCCAATCTTCCCATCACAGTGTGTGTGAAAAGAAACAAAGAGCATGTGGAACATGACGCACAGGCCCAGCGCTTTGATGGAGAGAAAACATGGCCCGCCCACGACCGCTTCTTACAGGGGAGCACAACCGCCCCGAAAAAAAAAAAAAGAAAAGCTTTGCCAAAAAAGACGCTCCTCCACTAATCTGACAAGATGGAAAGTTGGTGGCTCTATTGTGGAATGTCAGTCATTTAAGCAGTGAGGGACCACCCCCAGGGGGGACAAGGGAGCTTTGGAGCAGCACTGACGCACCCATTTAGATTGTATTATTTTTTTTTAACACACTAATAAAAAAACAAACAACAACAAAAAAAAAATCTTTGTACAATCAATAAAATACGCACCCTGTCAGCTTTGGTACCTACAGTGTAGTTTAAGATGACTTGGAAAGGCCATGTACACACAAACACAGGTTATTTTCCTTTTTTTTTGGATCCATTTTTTTTTCATATGAACAAATTTTATGCTCATGTGTGTGTGTGTGTGTGTGTGTGTATATGTGTATACACACACACACACACACACACACACTGTGTGTGTGTGTGTGTGTGTGTGTATATGTGTATACACACACACACACACACACACACACTGTATGTGTGTGTGTCTGTGTCTGTCTGACACACACACTGTATGTGTGTGTGTCTGTGTGTGTGTGTTTTCAGCGAACATTTTTCTTTGTTTTTTTCTTTTAGTTGAAACTAAACATTGTGAACATTCTTGCTTTTGATTCGCTGATGATTTTTGCATATTTTTTGTTGGGGCAAAAAAAAGTAAAATGTTTTTGGGGGTTTTTTCCCCCACAGGTTTATCCACATTTTGGTTTTAACCTTTGACTTGATTTTATTGTTTTTAATCAGAGAGAAAAAAAGATTTTTTAAAATGTGGAGATACCTGTTTTTTTTTTTTTGTAATTAATTAGCAATGGATTGTATTTTGGGGTGGGGGTAAAAATAGTACTCGTGCAGGACAACAACAACAAAAAACAATTAAAAAGAATACCTGTGTGTATGTGGGCATGGCAGGATGACAATGTGTGAGACGTTTTATAAGTGCAAACAAATAAAAAGTTTACAAACATTTAGAGTACGCCTCCTGCTTGATGAGACATACTGGTAAACTATCTCCGCCTTTTTTTTTTAAACATTCATTAAAACGGAGACTCCAAGTCCTCTGGAGATATGTTGAACGACAACATCAATCGACATTTTGTGTGTGAGGAAAAAAAAAAAAAATCAAAGCAACAAAAAAGCGACCCTATCTGGAATGCATTGGCAATTGCTTCCTGCCAAAAAAAAAAAAAACGCTCTCTCCCAACATGCTCGGGGGAACCAACACATCCATCTGTCCGTCCTTCATATTTGAGAAAGGAGAAGAAGACACTTAACATTGGAACATGTGTCCATCCTCTTCCGAGTAAAAAAAAAAAATTTCCGAAATGATGTGTGTCGGTGCTCCCGGTGGTCCTTAAGATTCAAGTAAGCTGCTCGCGTGCTTATCTGCTCTTTGGCCGGAATTCCAAACCTTTTTTTTTTTTTTGCGTCTAC